AGCTGCCTGGCTTTCCACAGTATCCGGGACAAATTTGCATATTCCTCTACTGCTCCTATAACTGCCGTATGACCACTCATCTTTGAGACAGCTGCAAATGTTAACTTGTGACATCTGGTTCATTTAATAAAAGTTTTGCCTTCTACTAAAGATGCTCACTGTGGATTTATTTTGCCTATAACATTGACTCACAGTCCCTGCTTCTAAACTTCACCTGACTGGTGTGCAGGAGTTTTTCCAGGGAAAGGGCCTGATACCTCTTAAATAACCTGTTGCAAATCTCTCCCTTTCAGAGTCTTTAAATAGCAATGAGCTTGGCAGACCTTTCTCTTTTGGAATAAAGACAAACCACCTGTACTCAAAATGAGTTCTTACTGCAGATCTTCTCAGAATAAAATGCCCTGTAGGAAGATATCCCTTATAAAAGCTACTATTTGTCCTCCACCATCGCAATTAATGTACTTAGGAATGCCAACAAGCTTTTGAGCAGACTGCAGCCAAAGACTGTGTGTTTTGGTATTTTCTTTTAAAATATTTCCTTGGACTGTTGAGTTTCATTCTGCACAGAGTTTCATTCTGTCTCACTCCTGTCACTTGCAGTCACATGGAGGATTGTTGGAATAAGCAGTACCTTTCCACCTCCCCATGCCTGGGGAAGCAAAAAGCAACACTATCAGCAACAACAGACTCTTGCAGCTCCCAGAAAACTTCAACACAAGAAAAGAAACAAAAAACACAAAGGAAAAATCAGGGAAAGAAAATCTTTCGCTTGTATGTGTGTAAATAGTAAGCTCTACTGAAAGTGCTCATACACCATTTGGGCCTCAGCTTGACTCCAGGCACACAAACGATCCCACTAAAGCCCAAGACTTACTGAAGGGTGGTACTAGATTAGTCTCTGCACATTTCTTGTCCAATCCAATTTCAGTTCTCTAAGTTTTTATTTCCGCTTCCAGCATTGTTGTGCCTTTTCTTTCTGTCTGTTGACTCCTCTCAGCTGCAGCAAAGAAGGCTAAAAGCCATTTGAGCTGAAAAGCCTGAGCTTCAGGAACTAAGACTTTCCTTCAATAACATACTGGGTTTGGTTATTTCATTCATGAGGTCCAGCACAGATGTAGCATCTGATCTACTGTGATTGTTATGTCTGGTTGAGTGGCACCTTATTCTTTGAAACAGGGACAGGTGACTCTTCACAGTCACAATTTTAGTCAGGACTTTTTGTCGATGCTGGTTTATTGGAATGCTGTGGGAACTTACTCCAGACATGGCTTACTAGAGCATGCTGCTTTTCAGTTTAATACATTAACAGTGTAAATAACTGCAGAGAAGGAATTTATCAATTCCTATGCAGGCTGGGCTCTGGTGGGCTGGGAGCAACTGCTCAGAATAACTGCTGCTGAAAGAGTTTGCTGCAAGGTAAACAAAAAACCCCTAAAACCTACCCTCATTGCAGCAATAGGCGGGCTGTTTAATAATTCTGTCACAAAGCAAGGTGTAAACATGTTCAGGCAATACCTAGATGGAATTGGGTATTCTTCCTCCTCTCCTAGTCCATCTGATTTCACTGCAATACAGAGGACCCAATGTTCAGAATACAAAAAGCCTCATGTCAGGACAGATTGGGTGAGGTGTCCACTGTGTGAATACCTCCACCACTTTAATCCTTTCTGTGTTGTGGTGTCACCACTGGCTGCTGACCCAGACCTGGTTTATGATGCCTATAACCCTTGCTCAGGAGCTCAGTGTGATGTAAGAACTGCTCCTAAAGCTGGTTTGATAGCACTTATTGCTGAAGGAAGTCACATACTGCATTGCCTGGGCAGCAACCAGCAGAAGTCAAGGACTAAGACGAGTTGAGGGCTAAATTCTGATACAATTTCTGACCTGCCTTCCACAGACACTGAAGTTGCTCAGTAAGGCCACAGATCACAGGCATCTTTCTGTAAATTCGCATGAAAAATATATAGAAAATCACTAGTAGTATCTGGTTAATAGAGACCATGCTGAAGTGTATAGTAAACTAGAGGCTTGTAATTTAGGGGCTAACCTCTTCATTAATTGCAAATTCTCAATGAAGTGTTTAAATGCTAAAGTTTAATGGTGAAATAGTTGCAAGCACCTATTCATCAAGAGACTAGAATGGGACTCAGGTTACTACAGGCACATTCTCACTTCTGAGGCAACCAGAACTAGATCAGGAGGTTCCCTGCCAGATTGTACTGCTGCAGACGTGGGTAGGATATTATAAAATGAAACGTACTTTCTGCCATGGGAACACAGGAGCTAAAAAGCACCCAAAAGGTACAGGTAGAGATGAAAAGGAAAGCAGGGGATTTAATGTGAATCAAAGTGCTCCAAACAGCAGAGTAAAAAAAAATCTGCTGTAGCATTTCCTCGGGACCAGGGCTGCTTATGAGCTGCAGTGCAAAACTGTCACAGTCTCTATTCCTGATCATCCTCTTCCCAATGCAGCTCAGCACCTGCACTTCTGCTGCTTTGGCAGAGCTGACCTTGGAGCCAATGGCTTTGAACCATGTAAATAATGCCACGGCATAAAAAAAAGCTCCTCCCAGCCTGTGCCTTGAATCCTGCATGTGCCAGATTAACATAAAGCACTTTACTCTTAATCTGCTGCTATTAACTCTTTTGGAGTATTGTCTTTATCTTCTCCTATCCAGTACATGCAGAATACACATTTATTTATCAGTTTTAAAAGCAGAGAAGTAGGAAGTCATCCCACTGAGAACAGCATTTAATCTCCCATGTATCTTCAAATAAGCAATGATGATAGGACCTGCCAGTTTATAACAGCTCTTTATTTTACTGATATTATAAAACATCATCACAGGGCTCACCTGTTTTGCTTCATGAGCTTCATTTCCCCTTTTATTATAAATACTAACAAAATTAACTTTATTTTCCATCAGCAATACCATAAAAACTCAGTCTAACTGGACATATTTTTCAGTGATCCCTTGAAGCAAAAATCCCCAAGAATTTGGAGTAGATCTCTATATTGTATATAAATGTATTTTAATACATATAATTATATTAAAATTCACCATTCCTCTATATCACTCATTATTGTGATTTTTCAATTACTAAATTATGTCAGCATTATGAAAATATGGACAGCCATCTAGTTATTTTGCTGCTTTATAAGATATTTAATAATTGAACAGACAACTGCAAAATTACATGAATGCAATGGGAAGTCATGTACATGTTCAGTTAAGAATTCCACATGGACTTTCCTTATTCAAAAACTTTTCCACATTTTAGAAATCCAGTAAAAACTTTCAGTAACCTCTTTCTTTGGTCACATACACACAAAAAAGTTATGATGTATGTGTATTATGCTTTACATACTACATGTAATTCTAGATATATTTTTATGCAAATATACGTAATGTACTCTGAATATATATGTTGTATGTTTTCATATATATCCTATGTTTTATATATATAATTATAGATCTATAATTATATATATATACATATACAGAGAGAGAGATACCACAGGTGTGTATGCATTTAGTTATACAGGTGTATGCATAAATATATATGGCAAATTTTTCTGATGGGACTGCTGCAGGCAATAAGAAACCTGTGAGCAGTGTGAGGCTGCTTGGCTTGGCTTTAGAGTGTAATTCACATAGACTTTGAGCAGGTTGAGCTGCTTATGTTTCACTTGGAAAAGAACAGGCCTCTTATGGAAAAATAATGGGTAGTCTCTTGAATTAACATTATTCTCATACATTCTCAAGTGAAACATGTCCACCATAGAACCTTTGGGTTATGTTTTTAATTTTTTAGATAAATATTTACCCACTAAATGTGTTTCTACTACTATGCACCGGATCAACCAGGACAACTCTTATTAAAACATCTTAGATTAATGCTCTGCATATTAAAAATACATAATAAAATTCTGAAACTAGTCATTGCTAAAATGTAGATCTTGGATCCTTCAAAGATCTGAAATACCTGCTTAAAATTACCATTTGAGTAGGTCCACTGATGGGCTTTAGTGCAAGTACCTAAATATTTGCAGAATCAAGACCCTTTCTCTCTCAAAGGTTAAATTTGGGATCTCACACCTGAGAACATGTAGTGGTTGCTTCCATCAGTAATTCCCACCAGGGAGAATGTTATGTTTTGCAGCAATAGCCAGAGCATACTCTGAGGTTGAGAGAGATGGACTTTAACTCGTGTCCAAAAAGTCAAGGTGGGAGTGACTTTAAACAGCAAAGAACAGTGACTGCCAACAAATCTTACCAAATATACTACATTTTATTTCTCAAGAAGGCCAACTTTGCATTACACTTTAATAACTTCAGCATATTTTTCTCCTTAAATATATTTGTATATCAGAACACCAGCAAATATATAGCTTTAAAAAAAAATTTTAAAATTGCTTTGGGACTGAAACTGTGTGCTTCAAATTTTCCCCACAGCAGTTCACTGGCAGCTGGGTTGTAAACCCCTGAAAACAGGTGTCTGTAGTTGGTGGTGCTGACATAGCCTCGTTTTACAGTGCTGTGCAGTAGAGGGATCAGCAGATGCACACAAGCTGTCAGAAATCCTACAGCTCATCCCTATGTACTTCTTCTGCTGTAAGATGGTAAATTGATTCAAATTTCCAAAACTGCAAACAAAAAAAACGAAAGCAAACAAAACCCACCACGCCCCCCCCCAAAAAAAACCAACCCACCAACAAAAAACAATACAGGAAAAGAACCCCCAAAACAACCAAACTAAAAAAACTCCAGCAAAACTGGGACTTGTGCTTCTAGAAGGCCCTGACCTGGTTTGTAAATCACTTCTCCCTGCCACCCAGCTTTGGCATCGCTTTGCCTTCCTTATTGCATATCTGTTGATCCATCCTGTAGCTGAAGTGTGTATGTAGTATAACTGCAGTATGAATTAAAACTCTCAAAAGAATTGGATTTCTGCAAATCGGACTGGTGAATTTTCCTTATCTCTGGATTATTTCTTTCTGGGGGGTCTAGTGCTACTTTAGTTGAACCCAATGGAAAAAGTCCCACTGAAGTCAGTGATGCAGATGGAGAATATCAAAGACCTCTCTAGACAACTTCTTTGTGATTCCCTCTCTCAAGGTCATTTTTTAAAATGTGCTCATTATCACCAACTTCCAGTGTTAAAATTCACTCTTTTTTTAATACAAACATTTACCACAGAAATATGAAAGGAAAAGCCATTAACTTCTTTGCAGGTTATTACTTATTTGTATGACACAAAAGAAAAATCATCATTTACAGTCACAAACTGTACATAGTATTTGGTGGGAGTATATTTTGTGGTTCAGAGATAAAAAATGGACTACTTCAGTGGCAATTAAAATAATTATTGATGAGATATAAGACTTTAAAATCAAGGAGGGGTGATAATTTGTCTACAGAGACAATCATTGTAATACGTCTAACACAGAGGTTTGGATAGCAGAATGATGAGTAGAGGGGTGTGGGGAAGGAAAGACACCATCATGCAACACAGCACTAGTTCTTGCTCAGTATACTCTTCAGGCTTCTCTCCACGGCTTCATCTAATTCTTCCTCCAGCTCTTCCTTCTTGGACATGGCCAGTTTGGACTGGTAATCTTTTACAATTTGGTCTATGTAGGGTGCACTCTGAGTCCCGTGCAGCATCAGCGTCCACTCCTTCAGCACCCCCCGCTGGGGCTGGCTGCCGACAAACCCGATCTCCAGAGCCCACATGCCTCGGGGGTCTTCTCCCCACGTGTGGGTCGTCATGAAAGGCCACTTGTCAAAACCCACCTTGGAGTCATCATCCCTGGGGCGCCGGCTCAGCAAAATGGACTTGGTTCCCATGGGCGAGGTCATGTTGATGTTGAGGTCTCCTCGCCGAGTGGAATTCACAGTTATAACTGCCTGGACGTGCTCGAGGTATCGGACAAAGTTTTCCTTCCCCTCACACGCGTCGGTTGTCAGCGTGAGGAACAGTTTGCCACTTGCTGGTATCTTTCTGTGGGTCAAAAGACAATTGAGCAAATTAAAACAGTACAATATGGCTTATGCTAAAAGTACTGAGCTTTAGTGCCTCACAGAAAAACACTGTATTATTTTACTTATTAATACTTGAAGAAGTAAGGAAATAATTGTTGCAAACTTAGCCAGAAAGTAAATGTTCTCCTTTTAGAAAATTATACCAAAACCTTAATTTGAAAATAATTATGAAATATACACCTACACAAAGAGAGAAGTGATACAATTTTAGAAGCACATACTGCTCTTTAAGGACTAACATTAATGGCTGTCTTTACTTATCACTCTTATATGGGGTAATTGTATAATAATGTGCATACTCAGTAAAAGAACTGTGAGTAGTCAGTCATGTGCATTTCCTTAAATGACAGCAGCAAATGGCTCTCTGGTGTTGGAGGAACCAATTGCACAGAATTCCAGTGCAGTCACATTAAAGCCTATGTCCTTGTTCTGCTTTGGAAACCAGCACAAACGTGGGATCCCAGAGTTGGCTCATTTGAAAAATACTTTTCCATGAAGATTTCTATCCTCGAACAGCTCCTGAACAGCATGAACACATACACCAAGGAAATGAGCTGCATGTATTTACTGAGTTGCCGAAGTGCTGTCAGGCCCAGGAGCCGAGGCTGTAAAGGCTTTTAAACCCGTTGGGGTCAGGATGCAACTTCAATTACACACTGCCTCAGAAACTGGCTGGCAAAATACATGGAAAGTGTAAAAATCCTCTACATCTTCACCATCAGTGTTCTGCGAGCATTGTGACATTTTTCTCTGCCTAATAGAAATAATTGAAAGACAAGAATTACAGCAATCATTAAAAAGGGGACCGAGTCACAAAAGACTCCAGTCACTATTTTGTCATTATCTTGTCTTCCAGTGGCTTCTCCCTGACCTCAGTTGTGCAGTCAAATTGAGTCTTTTGAAGGGCATTGACTACATTGTGGTAATGAATACCTTCTTTTCAAAATAAATCAGTACCGACTTTTTCCCTCTGCTAATGAAATATTGTGTTCTTTAGAGACCAGTGAAAGCATTTCACTCAAACCTAGCTTCCAGGAATTCTTTTCTTCTTGAGATGAGCTCCAAATATTACACTTGGTACATCACTAAGTGACTCAGGCCAGTCTCTGTCCCCCTTTCATAGGTTATAATCTTCTTGGAAGTACTTGCAGAGCAAAATGTCATTCAGATCCATATGCTCAAGGCATTTAAACACCGAGCTTAAACTGAAAAATCTGTGTTGTTCTGAGTATCATGGAGCAAAAGTTGGTATAACATAAATACTGTACAGCAAAAATATTTGAGCATCTAATATAATACCCTTGAGATACTTATTTTACATACCAAAGTACAAGAAAAATGCACTACATGCAGAACAGAGGTAAAGAATCATAATTTCACAGCTGCCAGGTGTTTGCAGTTTCTCTGCTTGGGAAGCCTCAATCTCAACTCAGTCTGAATTCATGTTATCTCACAGCCTTTTCACACAGTGAACAAAGCTTTGTGAAACACTGTGTCATTCCCAGAGATGTGATAAGAGTTTTATCTCCTCCAGTTAATGAGGAAGGACATCACACTGTGAGTCTTTTCTTCCTGTGAAGGCTAAAGCCCAAAGAAACAAGAGCAATGTGTTCCCACTACATCTGCTCTGCAGAAGGCTTGACAGCTGCAAAAAGCTTTCCACCTTCTCAAGTACTGCAGTGCATAAGTTCTCTCAGCTCTCTAAAAACTGAGAAGAGTCTTCCTCTATTTCTCCCTCTATTATTAATTAGGATCTAACAGTCTCTGCTTCACTAGACTAATTATTGTAGTTCAGGTGAATTTTGCTAAAGAAACAAAAAGAACCAAGGGTGGTGGAAAAAGCCTGACACAAAGAACCAGAAAATGGATTTTCCACAGCCTTATCATGTGCCACTGCCCAACTTCTGTGTGTGTATATATATATATATAGCATATCCATGGCATAGTACCCAGTGGGAGATTATATATAGTATATCCATTTTTGCATGTGTAGTACCTAGTGAGAGATGAGCATGGGGAACTCCTATGTGCTCCTGTTCCTCAGCTAATGGACTACAATGTCTTAAAACTTTGCATTTCCCTAAACCAGCCAGAACCCTTGGCAGGAAAAGTTCCTATTGCTAATAACTGTTTCTGTTTTAAATACTGATTGTTTATATAATATACCTGATTGTTTATATAATATACCTGATGGTATATTATGTCTGGTAATTATTTCCTGACCTTTTGCTTAATTGACAATGTTGCTCTGAAACACACCTCCATCAACTACTCACCTTCATAAATTTATACTAAATACATATTTTATGTATAAAAATATCTGTACTTAAATAAAAATAGAGATTATATATAGAAAATGCTGCTTCAGCAAACAAAACTGAAAAAATAACCCAATTATCCACAGCAGAGGGCAGAGTAGAAGTGCAGAGTTTTCATTTCCAAGGAACCTCTGGAGATGCTGGGACTTAGCAAGTTTTTTTTTACAGTGCAATTCAAAAATGTACATGTTGCACTTCATAATGCTTATTATCTCCTGTCAGTGTCATTTTCATTGGGGAACACAAATATTACAGCAGTGCTGTTAATATATAGATGTGTCAGGCAATTGACAGGGGAGCACCCTTACAGCCTACAGAAAGAAATGTTCTCCTCTAGGATGATCCTCATTTCAATAAATAGAGCTGCCCCAAGATAAATGAGATTATTATGCATATAATTATGAATAAACTAGAAATATCTTAAAACTAGTGTCTTGGTTTGAAAGACAGGTATGGTCTAAGGAAAGGCAGGAGCCCCTTTTCTGC